ACAGTACATGTATTGTTAACATCTGCTGGGATATTCACCACATTTCCTTTTATTTTGAACTGATTTCCTCTGGGAGCTTGGAGAAGCTTTTGAAAAGCCAACCTAGGTACCAACATTCTACACTCTAACTCGTTCAAATCAAAAAAGTCTGGTTTTGCTGGAAAGGACATTCCATTCTTAGCTGCACAGGGTGGTATTTTGTCTTTCTTCAAATGTTTATAGCAAGACTGACAGATGCACTCAATTCCATCAACACTTGTTTTAGTCAGTAAATATTTTCCTGCTGTAGGGTTGGTCAGTCTAAGTTTTTCAGCAGTGATAACACTGTGTTTATACCACAACTGGCTACAACAGGAGCAAATGTACTCTGGACCTCTAGAGACATTAGCGTGTAATTTTCTGATTTCGCCAGTAATGGTTGGGTTATATACATTTTTCTCATTCTTATATTGATGCTGGTTTGTTAGTCTCTCTTGTCTATGGTCTGCAGATTCATTTGCAATTTTTTCTTTCTGATATTGACGTTGGTTTAACAGTCTCTCTTCTCTACATTCTGCAGATTTCATTATTTATTTGCAAAAGATCATCATTATAACAACACTACATGCTGCAACGCAATTAATATAATCCTGAGCGGGAAGTCTCAGAAGCCTTTTTAGGCTTATCTAGGAGACCCCCTTTACTACCTGATAAGACAAGTCTGGCGGTCAATGATTACAGATCTTGTACATTGATTTACAGATTCGTGAGTAAGTTACATTGGTATTGAATATAACTATAAACTATTTGTTAGAATATAATTTTTTAATTCTCGCTCAAAAGTCGATATATACTGGATATTTTTTAGATCACTTGGGAAGCTGTTGTATACATCAACTCCTTTAAAACTAATGCTTAATTTCCTGAGGTTTGTTTTGACACAAGGCTTATGTAATTTTTTGTTTGAACGAGTGTTGTGGTTGTGAACTTTTTCATTAGTCCTAGAAATTTTTTTCGATGAGATAGGTAATTGATTATTTGAAAATTTTTTCATTAAGATAGCAATAGTGTAATAATTAACTTGGTAAACATTCAGTATCTTCAGATGATCAAATAATGGTTTTGAGCTGTGATTGTATTCTTTGAAGGTTATTATTCGTACAAGTTTCTTTTGCAGTTTGTATATTTTCTTGAGATGAGTCTGATATGCATTAGCCCATACAACATTGTCATAAAAAATATAGGGGTAGATCAGGGCATAGTAAATTGATTTCAGTAACGATCTAGTTACAAAATGCCGTGCTTTACATAATATACCTGTTAGCCTTGATATTTTGTTTGCGACGAAATTAATGTGTTCTTTCCACTTCAGTTGGTCTTCAACTATTGTTCCAAGAAATTTTGTGCTTTTTATTTGAGTAATATAATGATCTTTGATTTTTATATTTAGTTGTTTAGTTATTTTTTTGCTTGATGATTTAAACAGCATGAAATTTGTTTTTATAATATTAAGTGATAATTTGTTTAGTTGTAGCCACGTATTGATTTTAATTAGTTCTTCGTTCATTTTATCTATCAGCGTGTCCAGATTTTTATGAGACATCAACCAATTTGTGTCATCTGCAAAGAGAATGAAGGATAATTTTTTTGAACTATTGCAGATATCATTTATATAAATTAAAAACAGTAGAGGACCTAGAACAGATCCTTGGGGAACTCCACACGTTATTTCTTGTTTCTCTGATATTTCATTGTTGTATCTGACGCACTGATATCTCTGTGTTACATAATTCTTAAACCATTCTAATGCCATAGAATTCCAGCTTTTGAAGTGGCAGGCTATGATCAACTGTATCAAAGGCCTTAGACAAATCCAGAAATACCCCGATGGCAAATTCTTTGTTATCTAAAGCAGTCGTTATTTTATTGATTAGGTCAATAAGTGCGAAATTTGTTGAGTGATTTCTCCTGAATCCAAACTGATGTTCACTAAGAAGGCATATTTTGTTTAAGTAATTCAATAACCTTTTGTATATCATTTTTTCTAATATTTTAGAGAAGCAAGGTAATAAAGAAATAGGTCTGTAGTTGTTGAATTCACAACTGTCCCCTGATTTGTATACAGGAATAACAATTGATGTTTTAAAGTCTACAGGTAGTTTGCCTGTACTGAATGTGAGATTTATAATATGTGATAATGGTTCACTCAATTCTGTTGCTAACTGTTTCACTACTTTGGGCATGATGTTATCGTGTCCACAGCTTTTTGATGGGTCAAAATTTTCTAGTTCTTTCATAATTTCTCGTTCACAGACAGGTGTCAAAAACATTGAATCCTTGTAGTGTCCCTTCAAGTAACTAATGAATGACAAGTTGGTAGCAGTTATTTTCTTTGCAAGGTTAGCTCCGACATTAACAAAATATTCATTGAATCAATTAACAATTTCCCTTTTGTCAGTAATACGCTCATTATCTTTTTTAAATTCTGTAGAGCTAACAGTATCCTTTTTTCTACTGATTACTTCATTTACTAATTTCCATGTCTGTTTTATATCACTTTTAGCAGTGTCGAATTTTTGCTCATAATATCCCCTTTTCAGAAAATTTTTAACTTGTTCAGACGGTTGCGATAATATTTGTATTTTGCTTTTAACTCTTCATTTCCATTGTTTAAAATCTTTTTGTATAGCTTGTTTTAATTTTAGATGATTTGATGAATCCCTTTGTAATCCAAGGTTTCTTATGAATTTTTGCTGCTTTGTTAGAGAGATTCTTTTCAGGTATACATTTATTGTACAAGCTCATGAACGTTTCTTTAAAATAAGAATATGAGTCATCAACTTCATTGATGGTCCTAAAAAATTCCCTATTAATATTTTGAACTTCACTCCGCAATTTGTTTAAATTTGCCTTTGTTACTGCTCTTTTCTGGATAACCATCTTTTTTGGTTCAGGTGTGCTGATAGATGGAAATATTTGAAAGACAGGTAGGTGATCTGAAAGGTCACTGATCAAAATTCCTCGAACAATCTAAGTGGATGTTATTAATAAATATATTATCAATTAATGTTGCTGAATTTGCTGTAATTCTAGTTGGTCTGTTTATCTGTTTGTCTGTTTAAAAATGAGAGCTATACATTTGATAAAGAAATCTGTTTACATGGTCACTGCTCTCATATTTTATGAGATCAAAATTGAAGTCTCCCATAAGTATACACGTCTTATTTTCTTTATTGACCTTGTGAAGGATTGTTTTCAAGTCTGCTTCAAATTCATTAAAATTGCCGTTCGGAGGTCTATAAATTGTTCCTATGATGATTTTCTCATTTTTCCTCAGGCTAGTCTCAACAAAAATACTCTCTAAAACACCGTCTCTTTGTAAATTCAAATCATTTCTAACGTGAAAATTTATAACAGAGGATATAAACATCCCTACACCCCCACTGGTCTTCGTGTTCCTGTTGTTGTTGACAATCAAGTAACCTGGTAGTTGAGTTTGTGATTCATTATCAAAATTAAGCCACATTTCACTAATTCCAATCACTGAAAATTTATGTACTAACTCCCCAAGGTATTGTTGTAGGTCGTCCAATTTATTGGTCAAACTCCGCACATTAAAATGTAGAACAGAGAAGGGAGAATTATCGGAGAACTAATTTGATATTTTGCTTCTGCACCTGTCTTCAAGATAATACTCACATTTTGTCATATCGCTGTTGTGTCTTTGATTTTGGTAAAGATCACCTAGGTCAAAAACACAGTCTTCCAAGCTCATATCATTCAACACCGGGTGAAGCTTAAGACTGGTAAACTTAGAAAAATCATTTCTTATTATTTCCTGGTTCGTAAGTGTTTGAGCAAAATCATCATTGTCTAATTGCGTAAATGGAAATAATTGCTGTGAACAATTATTGCAAATCGGATAACTACAAGGAATTATATTACTCGCGTCTACCCTCATGCATTCAGTATGAAAATTACTCCCACAAGTTTGACAATTAATTTCACACCCATTAATAATTGAATCACATTTAGAGCAGTTTAACATTTGCTATAAAATTGAGGTTTGAACTAGTTTGATTATAGTCTTACTTTTCAAGCTGGTTGTGCGTAAACTGGTCATTCGATATGTTGTAGATCCTTCCATTCCTTGAGCTCAACTATTCTCGGGTCATCCTTTAATTTATACTTAATTTTCCCATTGGTAAACCAAGCTGAGTCTACCAAGTGTTTTTCCTTCAGCTTCTTTAGCCTTTTTGCTAAATCTTGCGCCATATCTTCCAGAATAACTACCTTTTTGCCCTCTAATTGGCGTCTCTTCAGGAGCAGACGTGTCTTCGTCTTGTTAAAGAGCAGACGGACAATGACTGGCCTGGGTCTTGCTGACCTTTGATCTCCTGTTGAGTTTCCTGCGTTGCCGACAGTGAACTTCTTAGGGCTAACACGATGAATTATCTCCACTTCCTCTGGTTTAACTTCTTCTCCCAGGTTCTCTCTCATACAAGAAATAAATTTGCCCTCCAGGTCTTCTCCTTCTTGCTCATCTATACCTAGGATTCTTAGGTTGTTCTTCCTAGAGTACTGCTCATTGCGAACTGGGTACTCCCAAGTTAGGTCAATTTTTTTTTTTAAAACATCCTCGACGTAATTAATACTCTTGTTGAAATCATCTTTGATTTTAGTGATCTCCTTACTTATGCCTTTGAACTTCTTTTCTAACTCTGCAATCTTAGTATCCATCATTATGCTTAAATGCGTGGTCAACTCTTCAAGCTTGACATCCAGGATTGAGTTAAGAACATTGAAGACCTCTGAGCTCAAACCATGTTGATCTTCTAAGGATTGTTCTGCTTGTTTCTTACTTGGAATTAAACTTTTGCGTCCCGGTGCTGAAGGGACGCTATCAAAGCTTCTCTTGGTCTGCGCGGTTTTCACGTCGTCCTTACCTCCCGCCATCTTTTTTTTTTTTTTTTTTTTTTTCCATTAGCAATTTTTTCATTCTGATATTGACGTTGGTTTAACAGCCTCTTCTCTCTACTTTCTGCTGATTCATTTGCAATTTTTTGTCTTTGATACTGAGATTGGGTTGCCAGCCTCTTTTTTCTCGATTCAGAAGGTTCATTTGCACATCTCTTTTCCCTGTTCAGACGCTGCCGGGCCAGCCTCTTTTCCCTAGATTCCACAGTTTCATTTACCCTTCTTCGTTTCTCATATTCGCGTCTAGCAATCAATCGTTTTTCTTTTTCTTCTGGCGTTTGTTTGGTTTCTTTTATTTCTGAAATGCAGATGTTCAATTTTTGGACTCTTGTGAACATTTTGCAAATCAAGTTCATTACCTCTGACAAAGACGCCTTTAATTTCAAAAGGAACAACCCCTATTTGTAAGCTGGAAATTTTCAAATATGATACAAGGTTCTCAGTTCCTTCAATTGTAAGCAGAGAACATTTACCAAATGAGTGGGGCATCCCATGCAAATCCCTGGAATGAGCATCAAAAATTTTAAAGCTTTGTTCTGCATTCTTAATCGCTGCAACAGTATTAATTCCAATTGTTAACAATCAACAATTGTAGTTAAGTTGACGATTTGAAAACACTTCTGTCAGAGAATTTTGAATAGACATGTATGGCCCATTACTTGATGTCATAAACAAATTTCCTGTTAATGACTCACTATATTGTAATGTGTATACTTTATTGTAAATTGAAACAATGCATGGAACATCAGTTAAAAGCAAATAATTATTTGTCTGAACAGAACATCTTATAGAAGTATACAAATTATTTCCAATGGTAAGAATATTATTCAAAGTGGAAGAAATCCACAAATTAATATCTCCTATGTGATGATAAATAATAGCAGTAAGTGACATTGCTACACATTGCTTACCAGGATTTTCACCAAAGATTGCTTCATTTCCTTGACTGTAGTCAGCACATATTGTTCTTGTTGGATCAATGACATCAAATATTGTAGGGCCTGGATTTTCCTCTACATCATTTGCCTGCCTTATAAGTAGTGGAATATAGGCATTGTAGAAAATCATTTGTGACAACCAAAACATCACATCATTCCACATTTTGTGTTGTCCAACAACTTGTTTCAATACTGGTAAGTAAAATACATTTAAATAGAACATCACAAACATTAAACTCCAAAAATGATCATTAAAACGTGATAAGATATCCTTTGTTTTCACAAAATTGTCATGAGAGCCAATACTTGACCGGTATTGTTCAATCATGATTCCCATACTTACTTTTTCGTTTTGAGATATGCCTCCATGAATTCTCAACAGTGCGAGGAGAAAGCAACTGCAATACAACTTATTTCACTTTCTGGCACTTTCAGGTGGCTTCAGACACTTTAAAACACTTTTAAACACTTTCTGACTTAGTGGTGCAACCTGCACCGATAGATCAAGCCAATAGTTGTTGGCTTGTGAGAGTGCAATGACTCCTTTCAGTGTGGTACAACCTGTACCGAAGATTCAAGCAGTTAAATATCGTTTTTTAAGAGTGTAAAAGCTCTTGCACAAGCTGCAGCTATAACACAAGCTGGGTCTGGGTGTGTTGGCTTGTGTTAGGAGAACTAACTCGTGATACGATCACCTGAAAAAAAATCACTTGAAACCATGCTTATAATCAAGATGGCTGACTCAGACTTGTGCGCCGTACGATACTACAATATTAGACCATGTGACAGGCGCTCGACTCTCGTATACAGATAAATAAATAAATCTGATTGTGCCATAGTGTGGCTACACACGTTGTGTAAGCCACACAAAAATCAGTAATGAGGTGCATAAACAACAAGTACTCATGCCAAACATTTTTCAATATTCAACAATCATTTGGTGCTAAAGAATATATATGCAAGAAATGTCATTCAAAAGTCATAAAAAGAGAATTACCATGTCAGGCTGTTGTGAATAATAATACCATCCACGTTACAGGCTTCATTAGAAAAACTAGATCAATTACTAATTGATTCTCAATTTTTGATCCTCTAGAGCTTCTTAATTTTTGTTTCTGCTTTTTTTCCCACTGTTTTTTTTTTTTTTACGTAAAGTTCCTAAAATTGGAACTTTATGTACTTTTTATAGCAACAAAACATGGCTTAAAGGCTGAGCAAAGAACAACACATGACACATTTAGTTTTCTAGTTTGCAAGTTTGCTAGTTTGCTATCTTTTCTCACACGGCTTCATGCTAAACAAAGAGGTACCGGCTTATGATCACTGCGGTATTAAAGATTCTGGAATGCCTACAGAGTGAGCATTATTTCATATATTGGTATACTGATATGATCAATTTCAGTACGACTGGATAAATCACTATTCATTGGATAAGCACCATCAACATCAGTTGAGTTATCCACTTCAGTGTGGTTTATCCAATGCATAATGCCATCCACCCCTTAAGAAAACAGGCCTGATTGACAAAATTCCTAAGGGTTGCATGGAAAATCGCCAAAGAAGCTTAAGTCAATGCCTTTAAAGGATCTAGTTTCTTTAGAACTACAGGTTATATTGATTGCAATATTTTGTGTTACACACTAAGAAAATGTGTAAATAAAAACATGAAAAATTTACACAAAATTTGTCCCAGAAAAATGTAGGCAGGAAGACGTGTTGTTAGTAAGCAAAACCTTTATTTAAGCATCAGTGTTTAGCCCAGATGGACTGATTGGGGACACCAATAAAACATCAACGCCAATTAACATGACACTTATATTATATGGTATTATATTATACTTATATATATGGTGCTAATTAACATATGGTACTTATTCTTTTGGTTACAAAGATTACATCAATTGCTGTTGTAGGTTAAAATGTCTGCAAGATCCAATTTTCTTATTCTTTTAATAAAAAATGGGTTAATTGGGGCAATTCCTTTGATTTACAGTGGTTTTTAGCATAAGAATGGCCCAAGATATCTAACAGAGTGTTTGTCGTAGCGTTTAGTTCTAAAACATGGTAATACAAAGTCACTATTCTGAAGCAAGTGTGTAATTATGGTTTGCTAGTAAAGGTTTTTTAAATTTAATATGAGCCTATAAGTGCCATCCTTCTTAGGGCAAATGAATATGGTAGAAATATATTCCCCTTTCACAGTGAGTTGTTTCTTTGATCACTCCTTTTTTCAGCAATTTATCAATTTTGTTTTGAATGATGTGTTGCTCCTTAAGGGAAAAACAGGCTTCCCTTGGGACAGCCCCTTGCTGCGGGAACCCAGCAGGGAGTTCAATTTTATACTGAGTCACACTATCAGCCACTGAGACGAAAAATGTTTCAGTCGGCCAGCAATACAGTCATAAGACACTTTGAGAGTTTTGCTTACCTCAACCTCAACATCAGAAACATGATCCAGATTCTCTACTTTGACTTCCCCTGCTTTGTCTTCTGTTGGAGTTTGTTCGGGGGGTTTGTGTGTTGGTAGTTGTATCTTTAGCCTTCAGGCCTGACAATATCCTCGTCCATGACTTGTGGAAAATCTGTAGTTCCTTGAATTTCTAGCATCAAAAGGCCTGGAGGACAACCCAATATTCGTGGTCACCTTTTTGTCGATCGGGTTGACTTCTGTCAAATCCTTTACGTGCTTTTGTAAATCATCGCCAAAAAGCCAATCAATGATGGCACAGGATGAGGAGCACAAACGCTTGCAATCATCATGCAGGTCAGGCTTTATCAACCCTCTATGCCAGTGATTAAGCTCAGTCTTAGCATCAGCAAACAGAGTAAAGGCATCATTAGCCTCTTGAAGCAGCTTGTTTCCCAAGCTGAAACATAGGTCTTTGTTCCACAAGTTTATTGACCATACCTGTCAAGGCACACATTCCTTTGAATAAAGACATTTGCACTTTTTCCATCTACATCTACATCTACATTTATTAATTGACAATGCTTTCGCATCAAGTCAGTAATTGGATAAATAAATTACAATATCATTAATTAAGCAACAGAGTTAGATAAAATACTTATAAGTTATATGTAATGATTATTAAAATTTAAAATAGTAATGAACATATTTCATTAAAAGTTTTAAAAAAATCTATAGGATATATATATACAAGTAAGAAAATAAAACAGCAATCAATTATTTCTGATATATGAGGCACAGTTATCTCTAAATGATAAGTACTTTGGACTAGCAGGAATGTTACTTGGTAAAGTGTTCCAGTCACTTGCTGTTCTTGGAAGATAACTATAAAGATAATAATCATGATTGCAACTTGGTTGAATAAATGAAATATTATGAAAAGATCTGGTGAAATGCTGTTTAGGTAAGAAATGTCTTGGTATTGGCAATGCAATCAAGTTATTAACTGCTAAGTAAAATAAACTCAATTGATGAACTTTATATCTATCCTCTAAGATATCTAAGTTCAATGAGTTTAACATTTCTGTAAACGAAGAAGTTCTGTCATAATCTTTTTTAATGAATCTGAATACTCCAAGTTCGCTCTAACAATAGTTGAATAAGCTAGGCACTTAGTACTTTCAGAACAGGGATAAAGGTTGCACATTACAAAGCAAAGTGACCTGTTTGCTTTAGCCACTATATTATCCACATGAGAGTTCCATTTCAAGTCATTAGATAACATAACACCTAGGTAAAAATGGGTCTCTACTGGGGACAGTTTCTGACCATCAATGTAGTAATCTGTTATCACTGGTTCTTCCCAGATAATCTCATTGTGTGACATTGAGTCACATTAAATTGCATTTACCATATTTTGCTCTAAGATACTAATTTATTGATGCCATTCTGCTGGATAGCACAGTTGTTTGCGGTGTCAATTGATCTGTATAGTAATGCATTGTCAGCAAATAGCCTTAAAGAGCTATTTATGTTTTCATGAATGTCATTTATAAAGAGTAAGAACATAAGTGGGCCCAAAACTGTACCTTGTGGCACACCAGAAGTGACCTTTGCAAGAAGCTTCACCATCCATGACTACATGCTGAAATCTCTCTGTAAGCCATGAATTGATCCAAGTGAGTGTCTTACCCTGAATTCCATAGAGGTACAATTTGGAAAGTAATATCTGGTGGGGTACCTTGTCAAAGGCCTTTCTAAAATAAAAAATTTGAAGGTCAATTTCTGAGCCATTGTCCAGACCTTTCACAAGGTCTTTGATAGTAGACACAAGTTGAGTTTCACAAGAATGATTCTTCTTAAAGCCATGTTGTTTGGAGTTCTAGATGTTCTTGTCCTCAAGGTGTTGCATAATACTCTGATAAATTACATGTTCCATCACTTTACATAATGCTACAGTTGGAGAAACTGGTCTGTAGTTATTATAAGGATCTTGCTTGGTACTTTTCTCAAGGATTAGTACAATGTTAGCTTTACACTAATCTAAAGGAAGCTGACCTGAAGTGTAAGATTGATTAAACAGAAAGTATACTATTTCAGCAATTTCAGATGCAGTTTCCTTAATAAGTCGAGTAGGTATATATCTTCTTCTGTGAATACTTTTTGAAATTGAGCATCTAGAGTTTCAGCTTTACCAATAGTATCAAACTTCAGTCCTTTATCACTCATTAAAGGTGGAATGCCAATCTCATCCTGTCTCTTAGCCTTTATATAAGACCAAAATTTATTTGGTTTATCATCATGATTAGTGTAATGTTTCAGCTATGAAATCATCTTGAGCCTCATGTAATTTCACTTTTAAATGCTTTTGAAATTGAACCTAAGCTTAAAGTCTTTTCTTCTTCCTTAATAATCTTTTTAAATCTCTTGTGATCCATGGAGTGTCACTCTGTGTACCCAGTTTCTTTTTAGGAACTTTCTTGTTTAGAATTTCCATCAGACCAGCTTTAATGAATTGCCAATTGTCTTCAATAAAATAATCCATAGGATTTCTACCAAAGAAAGCTTTGCTAAGCTCTGAAGCATCCATCCTTACTTCATTAAAATCAGTCTTATTGAATTTGTATACATATCTTGGTTTTTCTTGTTTATTTAATTGTCTGACTCAGGTCAAATGATACTGCTGAGTGGTCACTTATGCCTTCTGTACTGTAAATATTCATTACTAGGTCAGAATGGCTAGCTAGAACAAGATCTGATATTGATTCTCCTCAAGTTGAAAGTGTCACCAGTTGTGACAAAGCACGCCGGGTCAGGGAGCATTGCCAAATAGCAACTTGCCGCCCGCTTTAATCTCCTCTGAGTTCAGTGGTCTACTTACAGAGAAGCTAAGAATGTCAGTTTTTGGAAACACCGTCGTGGGCAAGATGTGTTTCAAAAAGTTTGCCGCTCACAAATAGAAGTCGGTTCGGTCATCGAAGTGGAAATTTCTATGTTGCTTAAATCTGTGTACAGACACCTAACAGCTCGAATGAAAGCTAGAGAACCATGGACAGTAACTTTTACGAGGGACATGCCCGAAGAAATTTTTCTATCCATTATGGAAGTGGTAAAGAAGGCTCCCTCTGCCTTTGGCGTAATACATACAACAACAAATGTGGCATATCAGCTTTCTTACTCTAAGGTGACCAGACTTTTGAGAGATTTTTCAAAGTTGTGCCACACTTCCCAAGAAGATGTCATGTCTTACCTCTGCAAGCAAACTAAAGCGCCCAGGAAAGGAAACACCAAGGTTACAGTCAAGCTGGATAAGCCTTTTGTACTGACATATATGAAGCGGAAACAACATCCGATAGTGAAGTGCCACTACATTTTCACAAATGAACACGGTTATTCATTTCAAACTTGACTGAAATACACAACTTGACACCATCCTGTACTTATTGTTCGAAGGGCCAATACTTCCAACCTTCATCAGTCATTGTTACAATAATGATTAACAACAAACAGCGCCCAATTATTTTTCCACAAGTTGTGATAATTTTCTTGCCAATTAGGGTTATCATAGCAACAGTAAAAATCGTTAAAAACATTTGTAATTTTCTGTCTTAATGCTTATAACTCAAAACTGAGTTGACGACTTCCATTTGTTATACTGAATTATGATCATGTCATGCTACAAGTCTTGGCAGAGTTTTTAAAAGCTTGTCAGAGTGGTTCAGAACCACCTTAAGTTTTTGAAAATTGGTCGCTTTCAACCACTCTGACAGAAGTTTGTTTAGACTTTGCCAAATGTTGTTTCATGACGTGCTGATTATAAATCAAGAATAAAAAATAGGACTCACTAAACTCATTTTTGAACTAATAGCCCTAAAAGCTTAAATTAAGGGCTTTTGAACAGGTCATTCTGATGCCATGCTAACCCTTATGGAACAGATGTTGTCTTTAGTTTTGAGTAATGATTGGGCATTTGTTTTGTAGCAATACTGTGGTAGTAAGTGACCCATCAAAATGTAGGGGCTGAAAATTACTAAAAACACCTATGAGCCTCCCTTAGGCACATGCCCTCTAACTTAGTGTCTGAACAGAAATGTGTACTATTGATACACACCTGCTGCAACAAACAAACAGGAGCATCCACCGGATCAACCCTTGTTTAGTACAAGCACACAAGTGTATAGTATCATTTAACAGGTTCATTAGTGTTTATTAAAAATGTTTCAAGATGGAAATAACAGATGTCCCATTGCGAAAGATATGCTAACAATTGTTGAGAAAATGCATAACAATACAATTTTGTGACAACCCTTTCCATTGTTTTACAACTAAAATGGGCCAATACAGAATTTATCCATATGAAATGCCTAATAACTTAAGAGTTAAGATTTTTCTCAACAAGAATGGATTTAAGCATCAAATGCTTCAACATGTAAATAACAAAAATTCTGTTGCTTAAGACACACTAACAATTGTTGAGAGCTATGAAAACATTACAATTCTGTGACAACTTATTTCACTGTTTTACAACTGAAATGGGCCAATACAGAATTAATCCATATAAAATACCTATGGATTTAAGCACCATTGATCTGGTTCGATCACAGAACCTCTTTTTTTAAGCAGGAAGCTTTTCCTTTGAGGCCCTCAACATGTCATTTGTGACAAGACCTTTCCTTGGTCAATACTATTTTGAATCACATTCATCAACGGGTCACTACAAAAAGTACACTTGCTTTCTGCAGGGTCTGCTTTTTCAAGATTACAGTAACAGTATCCAGAATTTTCAAAAATCCTGGCTGGAATGTAAACAGCATTGTGTTTGCTAGTATTTAGCTGAAATCCCTGTTCTGGCAGCCAAATCAACATGACAAATCCATGTTTAAAAATTTCAGGCCACTGTCGCTGAAAAGTTGTATTCTCACTTAGTTTCTTCAGAGCTATGTGTTTGGCCTCCCTCCCTTCCATTGTCACAGTTCCCAATCCTTGCTTGTATTTCCTATGGACATCTTGTGCATGGCTGGGTATGATGTGCCCTATTGTCCAAACAGTGGGATTGACTGATGAAGGCAGAAATAAAGCATTTGCCCGAAGATACTCCCTTGCAACAACAGCCAATTGGCTTAGCTGTTCAGCAGTGATATCAAACCTATTAAAAATGGACACACAATCCCTTAGTTTTAGCCCAACATAAGCATAGATCAAAACTGTTTGCCTGTGACGTTTAGAGTCTTTCTCACTGCCAAGCCACTTGACCAACCACATGAAATTATGACAAAACAGTCTAGATTCTTTCCCCGTAAAGCGGTACTGCAAATCCTGACCAGTGCCCTGTGTTTCATCATACCATTTGATAACCTTTCTAGCAAGGCATTTGGCTTTAACTTCATACTTAAGGGCAGTTAGAACTCGTGAAAAGGGGCTATCCTTTGGGACATCACTAAACTTCTTGCATGCACCAGAAAGATTAGACTTTGCAATAGCCTCTTTTAACACACCCCTAAAAAAGTACTGCCATGCATTGTTCTTAACATGGAGAGGCTCCACATGGGCTTTCTCTATCAACTTGCCAATCAATGGGACAAATTCCAGGCGACTGTTTTTCTTTGAGATGAAATCTGTTACCTTAGTTCAAAATTGCTTTTCTTTGAGTTGTTTTGTTGACAAAGACTGCTTAAATTTGTCAACTTGGTCTTTCTTCATATTTCCAAGGATGCCACATGGTTCCACCATTAGTTGCAAATGTACCCTTTAAATCTGAACAATTTTCTTTCGAGGAGGAAAAGAACTTGGCACTGTTTGATAACTCTCCCCCCAACATAGCAAGCATTTTCATGTCATTAGGTACTTCTTCAAATTTAAAAGTAACCTTGAGACCCTCAATTTCAAAAACCTTTCCCTCCAGGTTAGTAATTTCTTGGCATAAGAGCTGCACATACTTTTTAACCACAGGGCAACACTCCTCACAGTTGGCACCGAATGTAATAAAATTATCATTACTGGAGGCAACCCTCTTGCTAACATTTAAGAAACTTACTAAAAATGTGCAAGCACTTTCGTTCTTACCAAAAGGGCACCTGTCGCCACCAAGGGCAACAAGGAATGTGCCCTCAGCATTACCAAACCATTTTAGTGATATAGCTCCTGGCGTCGAAACAACATCGGAATGTCCCAAAGAGACACAGGATTTAATGCGAGGACATCGAGCGAAATACTAATTCGAGACACCAAAGACCAACTATAATTCCAAACGTAGTTTATTCGCACTAATTGTGACTTGATGTCCAAAACCGTCAAACTAAAATACAATTAAAAAACCTAGTCTAAGCGATACTAAAGGACTGAAACTAAAATAACTATTTTATGACACGAATACATATCAATTACACGAGTGCAAACACAGCTAACAATGCTACATTCGGTAACAGGAAAAGAAAACAAGGAAATCAATACAATAATACGGTCGCTTACTGATTGTCCTCTCTGTAACGCCTGAATGAGTCTCAATGAACGAATAAGCTCTCTTGTCTAAACTACCGCAAACGACAACGCACGAGGTCTGACATATGATATCGAACCGTCACTAATACAAAAACAAAGACTAATACGTAACAGAAATAATACTTAACTCGACAACAATTACATGGCTCCCCTAAATTGAGCTAATCAATTTAATACAACTCAGGTTATCAGTTAATCAAGTGTTCAATCAAGTGCTAATCAAATTATAAAGTCAAATCCAGTTCATACGTTCATAAGTGTTCGTCGAATCCTTGAGTGAAATCCAAAGGTACGGTATCTAGGTCCTTAAGGCTCCTTGGTGGGGACTCCCCGGTCCGAATCCTCCACGTCATTGCTTGGTACAAGAAGTACCAGTTTCTGTACAGCTCGTTCAAGGTAGCTGATGTGCTTGACTCTGCATCCCTTGTCATTCAAAGAAGCGTCTCCCACTGCTAGCTTTGCCTTTCGCACGTAACCATCAGGGTCACCATAAGCTTCTTCTACGCGGGCGATCTGCCACATGTTCCGAGGAAGATTGTCGTTGCTGATGATTACAACATCTCCTTGCTGAAGGTTACGTCTCGGACGTATCCACTTCTGTCGCAGTTGAAGAGTATGAAGGAACTCTTTTTTCCAACGCACCCAAAACTCGTTAGCCAAGTGTTGGACTCGTCTCCATCTCTTTCGAAGATATAGATCAGCATGTTGAAACTCTCCAGGTGGTGGTAGAATGATTCTTGACTTTCCTGTAAGCAGATGATTAGGAGTTAGTGGTTCCAATGCGTCTGGTGGCGTTAAATTCTCAATGGTTAAGGGGCGGCTATTGACCACTGCTTCTACCTCCGTCATTAAGGTTTGAAGGGATTCGTTATTCAGCTGGCTTCCGCATTGGTCCAGTAGGACAGAAAGTACGTTGCGTGCCGTTCTTATCTGTCGTTCCCAAACGCCACCCATGTGGCTAGCTGATGGTATGTTTAGCTGGAATTCAATCCAATCGCAGTTGCGTTCCAAAAGGAAATGGGGAATGCGGGTCTGATCCATTGAGGACAGCGCTTTCTGTAACTCGTTCTCGGCACCTACAAGGTTACTTCCCTGGTCACATCTGATCGTTCGTACGGGGCCTCGGCGACTGATGAATCAGTGCAAAGCGTTAATGAAAGAGTCAGTTTCTAGGGTTGCTGATACCTAGAGGTGGATTGCACGGCTTGACAAACATGTAAACAACACTCCATAACGCTTCAATTCTTTACGGCCTTCCTTAATGAGCCACGGACCAAAATAGTCGACTCCGCAGTGAGTAAAGGGTGGAGCTGGTTCCAGCCTGTCTTCTGGCAAATTTGCCATCTTCTGCTCTTGTAGTGCCCCACGGAGCCTTTGGCAAGTCACGCATTTGGAGATGCATCGGGAAACTGATGAACTCCCTCTGATTACCCAGTATCCATGTGACCGCAGGTTGTTTAGCGTCATCCCTCGGCCTTGATGGCTTATCCTCTCGTGGTGATATCTTACCAACAAGGCGGTGATGTGGCCTTTACTTGGGAGGATGACTGGATGTTTAATTTCATAAGATACCAGAGCGTTTCTAATCCGGCCACCAACTCATAAGACGCCATCTTTGTCTAGGAAGGGATCTAGTCGATAGAGCGAACTTGTCTTCTTCATGGATAAATTTCGTCTCTTCGCAAATTCTCTACTGGCATCGTCGTTTTGCACTTCTAACGATTTGAGAATCTTGATTTCTTCAGGAAAAACTTCTTCTTGGAGTGACTTTAAAATTGCCTGCTCGGCTTTTCGCATTTCATCCACCGACGGCGATCTGTATGTCGATGTGTCTTTCTCTTTGCTTGTTTTCTTTGCTGCATGTACCAGTTTCTTAGGACTTTGTTGAAGGGATACTTTGAACTTCATACATGCAGCAACAGCTCTCTTGGCCCTGTGCCAATTGGAGAAGTGCTCCAAGCGTTCAGAAATGGTTGCCATCCTTTCATGTCGAACTCCGGTAGCGAAAACTTGAACTTTCTTGACCTCCGGATCGTCTGGAGAGAGGTCAATATTTACATCATCATTCCTGTTTGGAAGCTCTCGTTGCCATAAGAAAGGTGGTCCGTTGAACCACCGGGAGTCAATCAGGTCTTGAGGAGAAAGGCCACGCGAGGATTCGTCCGCAGGATTTTCTTTAGTCTCGATGTATTTCCACTGATCGGGGGTGCTGTTGTCTCGAATTTGTTGGGCCCGGTTGGCCATGAAGACGTGGAAACGCCGGGTGTCGTTCTTGGTATAGCCGAGGACGACTTGGCTATCTGTGTAAAACACCTCTGTAATCTGGTCGTACTCAAGCTCTTCTCGCAATGAGGCACTGATCCTTACGGAGAGCAGGGCTGCCGTCAGTTCGAGTCGAGGGATCGTAACAGGTTTCAGTGGAGTTACTCGGGCCTTGCCCATAACAAAGCTGCAGTGGACTCGACCAGTGTCATCTGTAAGACGCAAGTACGAACATTGGCCGTATCTGTGGTCGCTTGCGTCCAAAAAGTGGTGGAGCTGCACGGACGTGAGTTCACCGAACGCATGTGGCTTGTAGCACCTCTGGATCTTCAGTTTCTCTAAGTGATGTAGACTGTTTCTCCATTTTTCCCAACTATGTCGCAGTGGCTCAGGTACTGGATCGTCCCAGTCAGATTTATCTCGGCAAAGGCTCTGGAGAATTTGTCTGCCAGTCAGGATCACTGGCGCTAGGAATCCCAGGGGGTCGTATATGGAACTGATGGTTGATAAAATTCCACGTCAGGTCAAGGGTTTGTCTTGCAGGACGATACGAAATTGAAAGGTGTCTGACTCCACGCACCACTGAAGGCCCAGTGCGTGCTGTATTGGGAGGACATCATTGTGAAGGTCGAGATCCTTAACACCCTTCGCTCGATCATCAGGGGCAATCTTAGCAATTACTTCTTTGGAATTAGAGATGAATTTATGAAGACGCATTCCCCTTCTGGCGCAGATACTCTTAGTGTTCTCTATTAATGACGTAGCTTCAGAGACTGTAGCAACCGACTTGAGGCCATTGTCAACATAGAAATCTTTCCTTATAAACTCGGCTGCGTCGGAGCCAAACTTGCACTCATTGTCGATAGCAGTTTTCTTGAGCCCAAAGTTCGAGCATCCAGGAGATGCAGCTCCGAATAGATGCACGGTCATGCGGTACTGCACTGGGGTTTTCGTAATGTCGCCATTCTCCCACCATAAGAATCTCAAGTAGTCACGATCTTCTTCTTTCACCTTGAACTGGTGAAACATAGCTTCTAGGTCACACATGAATGCTATCAGTTCCTTTCTGAGTCGACAGAGGACGACAACCAGGGAGTTTGTTAAGTCTGGACCTTGAAGGAGGTACTTGTTTAATGAATGGCCCATGAAGGTTACGCTGCAATCGAAGACAATTCTGATTTTGTCAGGCTTTTGAGGGTGGTAAACTCCGTGATGGGGGATGTACCACAACTTTCCATCGTCATCGGGCCTTTCTTCATGTGGCACCCTTTCAGCGAAACCCTTTCTGATGATGTCGTGCATGAATGCCATATAATCTTGACGATACTTCACATCGTTTTCCATTCGCGTCTTTAGTTTGTTCAGACGATGTAAGGCCAGTGACTTGTTGTTTGGAAGTTTCAGAGTGTTACCTCGAAAGGGAAGTGGCATCTCATAATGTCCGTCAGCAGTCTGTCGGATTCCTTCTTCCATCTTCTTTAGAAACTGCAAGTCGTCTTGGGACAGTTTTCCTTGCCTGTCTGTCCCATCAGACAGTCTGTCACGTTTGTTTTGACCGAGAAATTCCTTCTTCCATCTTCTTTAGAAAATTCTGCAAGTCGTCTTTCTCCGGGACAGAATAATTTCACGAGAAAATTATTTCTTTATTATTGCAGGGACAATCTGAATCAAATTCCTATCTCCACATCTTTCTGATAGGGTGCAATCTGTTCTGCAATCTTCTCCAAATGAGGCCACTGGAGCGCTGACTCGGGTCTTGGAATGTGGGATCTCTTCGCTGGAATAATTTCACGAGAAAAGGCTTTAGGTAAGTGAAGAGTGATTTGTTGCTTGAAGTCTTGCACGATGAGGCCTCCTACTTTTCTACTCTTAATCAGCTCATTGGTGGCATGCATTGTTGATAACAACAAGTTCGTCTCAGGCCCTGACACATCAAGATGATTGAGGACGTTATCTGCAACAAATGTTGTGTCTGATTGATCTTCTAAAAGAGCGTACACTAGTGGCTCAGTCCGTGGATTGCTGGCGTGGCTCAACCAAACCGGGACAATCATTGAGTTCGCCTGACTTCTACTTTGACCATTCATAAAGCAAGCTGCAGAATTTGGCATCTGGTTAGGGTCTCCTTTATCGCGGGTGTTTTCTTCGCGTTTCCTGAAGTCGCCATGCAGAGGCGTCGGATGCTGTCGTTTACAAACACTGCACTTTTTTCTTTCCTTGCAATCTTTGGACAAATGACCATGTTGTAGGCAGCCGAAGCAGAGTCCTTTCGCTGAAGCAAACTCCTTTCTTTCATTGATTGTTCTCTTGACAAATTCTGGGCATGCGTCTATATCGTGCGATTTCTTGCAGTAGAAACACGACTTAACTGCTAAAGGTGGTTTGGTTTCTGCCGGCCCGCTTTTCTCTTCGTTTGAACTTGTTGTAAACGCATTTGCATCACAAGATCTTCTAGGAAACCTTGGTTTCTTGTCCTTATTTCTCTCGCTTATTGTTCTGTTACTGTCTTCTTCATTGAGAGGTGGCGAAGACAGTACAGGGTCGCAAACGATGTCCACCTCCTTTACCACGAACTTCACGAATTCCAAGAAGGGGGGGAAGACTTCGTTTTCCTCCTTCCAGTTAAATGCAAGTCGACTCCAGCGATTACTAGCCCACTTCGGTAGCTTTGCAGCGAGTTTCCGGTTTTCATGATCGTCGTTTAGGACACGAAGACTTCCTATCTTCTCCATTAACTTCTGACGTTGGACTAAGAAATCTGAATATTTTCTCAAGGCAGTACTATCGTTTGGATGAATCTTTGGCCACGATTCAAGTTTCTTGCGACAGGTTGCTGCTACAGCAAAGGGATCGCCAAAGCGCTTCTTGAACATCTCTTTGGCTTTATTGTACGCATCTTCTGAGTCTAGAAGCAGAAAGCTATCTACAACTTCTTTAGCTCCTCCCTTCACATATCTTCCGAGAAAATGAAGCCCCTCAGATGGTCTAACAGCTCTTCCTTCTATGAGGGTTTCGAATGCTTTTACCCAAACAGGATACTGCAACAGATTGCCATTGAATATTCCTGGTTCGGGGAGCAGAAGACTACTTTGGTTCTGGGTTTCCGCCAGTAGCTTCGCAACTTCGATTAGTTTTGATTGAACCTGGCCTTCTGAGTTACTGTCTGTTGGTGAAGGGTATCCGTACTCGTGTTTCTCTCTGTTAGCAATGACGGAAAGGTCATTCTTGGAACTTCTGATGAGAAGGGGTTAACATGAAGAGTCCTTGCTGAAGTGTCCAGTATGCGGAGTGAAAGGATTCAATGGACTAAAGGTTGGCTTTGTTGATTCAGTAATGCTTCGTTTAGGTTGGCTAATAGGTGTCCATGGAGTCGGGATGAAAGGCAGCTGACTTGACACGGATACTTTTACATTGGAAATCGACGCTGATTGGTCATCAAGAAACTTTTCTAAAAGCGCTTTCGAGTCCGTCTCCAAGGGAGGACTGACAGGGAATTCGTCTAGGATAATTTCGCCATCTTGCTCTTCATGTTTAATGGATGCAATCATTTGAGCTTCTTTCTTGACCAATTCTTGTTTGATACGAAACTTCTCCTCTAGAGCCTTTAATTCTTCTTTGGCGCGTTCTTCTTCTCGTGCGATTTCCATCTTTCTTCTTTGCACCTCGTCCATTTTCGCTCGGTGTTCTATTTCCTTCTCTTGTCTCTCCTTAGCGAGCGCCATTGTAGCTCTTAGAGAGGCGATGTCTCCCTCAAGTTGCACTCTTTTCTCTCGTAAAGATAGTGATGAGTTTCGAGAAGACGAACGAGAAGATTTAAGGCTTGACCTTTCGGAAATTTTGCTTGTCTTGGTTGATCATGAAATCGTTGAACTCTTAGAGTCCTGTTCTTGCTGCAAGAAGTTTATTCGGTCGCTAACCATTCTCAGGGCTTCGTTGTTTTCGCGAGAAACAACTTCAAATTCCTCGTACAAGCGGTTTCTCTCTTCCTCTTCTTCAATCACGGCCTCCAGTGCCTCGTGCGACAGGGACAATTGCGTCATCTTCCTCTCCAGCTCATCGCATCCTGCTGTTAGTAACGCAATGTCCTTTTGAGTCACCAGAGTCGAATGAATGGAATTGATTTGTTTTCGCCAAGACCTTTTTGCCATTATAACGGCCTGAAGGCGAAGATTCGTACATATTTGGACCCCTTTTCCGTTGAATGCTTTTCTCTTGCGCTTTGACAAGGCGCTTCATGCTTATCATCTGAATCTTCAAACTCCACATGGTCTACGAGGTTTTCTAGACCTTCTCCAGCGCTATCGGCCATAAGATCTTACCCCTTTCAATTTAATTGCATGTTTCGTTCGTTGGCTATTATCTATTTGATGATGATTGCAGGATCCGACGCACAGAAGATCCAATATGCTCTTAATCGTTCTTGAGAAATCGTTTGACTATAGCTCCAGGCGTCGAAACAACGTCGGAATGTCCCAAAGATACACAGGATTTAATGCGAGGACATCAAGCAAAATACTGATTCGAGACACCAAAGACCAACCATAATTCCAAATGTAGTTTATTCGTACTAAATGTGACTTGATGTCCAAAACCGTCAAACTAAAATACAATGAAAAAAACTTAGTCTAAGTGATACTAAAGGACTGAAACTAAAATAACTATTTTATGACACGAATACATATCAATTACACGAGCGCAAACACAGCCAACAATGCAACATTCAGTAACAGGAAAAGAAAATAAGGAAATCAATACCATAATACGGTTGCTTACCGATTGTCCTCTCCTTAACGCCTGATTGAGTTGCAATGAACGCAGAAACACTCGCAATAAGCTCTCTTGTCTAAACTACCGCAGACGACAACGCACGAGGTCTGACATATGATATCGAAGCGTCACTAATGCAAAAACAAAGACTAATACGTAACAGAAATAATACTTAACCCTTTAAATCTGAACAATTTTCTTTCGAGGAGGAAAAGAACTTGGCACTGTTTGATAACTCTCCCCCCAACATAGCAAGCATTTTCATGTCATTAGCTGCTTCTTCAAATTTAAAAGTAACCTTGAGACCCTCAATTTCAAAAACCTTTCCCTCCAGGTTAGTAATTTCTTGGCATAAGAGCTGCACATACTTTTTAACCACAGGGCAAGACTCCTCACAGTTGGCACCAAATATAATAAAATTATCATTACTGGAGGCAACCCTCTTGCTAACATTTAAGAAACTTACTAAAAATGTGCAAGCACTTTCGTTCTTACCAAAAGGGCACCTGTCGCCACGAAGGGCAACAAGGAATGTGCCCTCAGCATTACCAAACCATTTTAGTGATTCTTTCTAATCCCTTCTTAAGTAAAACTGTGCAAGGCGTGGCAAAAACTCTTCCAATTTTCGAAAACAACCACGAACAGTATCATCTTCTGATGCTTCTTGAATAT